CATACGTACACACATACGTGTGTGCATACCTACGTACATATAGAGTATATCCATATATATATATATGCCTCTCGAACCACGAGAGCTTGATAGGCTCTGCCGTTCAGATCTTGGGTTCAGAGCTTAGGATTGAAGACGGCAACACAAAAAGCGATGGCGGGACAAACCCCTGGCGGCTCTGGCTCCAGGGAGCTCGGCCTAGGGCCATTAGCGCCGAGATCTGGGGGACCAAAGGCCACTGCACTGCGGGCTGGGCCCGCGGGGGGTGTTTAAGGATGAAGGTGTAGGGTCTTAGGTGGGTGTTGCCTCGACCCTAAACCCCTCAACCCTAAACCCTAAACCCTAAACCCTAAACCCTCAACCCTTGGCATGGTGTTCCGTCTCCGGGGGGTGGGTCGAACGTGCTCATCAATCTTCGCATTGATCAAACGGGGGCTTTCAAAAACACGGCGTAGAAGCTGTCCGAAGCTCACGTGATGGGCCCGTTCTGATACCCCGAACTCGAAGCAATGTAAGCAGCCTGCTACAGTAGAAACCCTTACGGTAGCCCCTAGAGCCCGAAACCCTACCCCTAAACCCTCAGCCCTCAGCCCTAAACCCTACACCCTATACCCTAAAAAAAGGGAAAAAGGGCCTACTCCGGGTCCTAGGAGAACAGCCTTCTGGTCCCGGAGTCTCGCAACTGGACGTGCTCTTCGAATTGCCCCCGCAGGCGATCAGTGGAATTTAGGGTTTCGGATTTAGGGTTTAGGGTTTAGGGTTTCGGATTTAGGGTTTAGGGTTTCGGGTTTAGGGTTTAGGGTTTGGGGTTTAGGGTTTAGGGTTTAGGGTTTAGGGCTCCAAGATTGAGGTTTGGGGTTTGGGGCTTAGGGTTCAGGGTTTGCTGTGCTCTGCCGCAGAAGCTGTGAAGGTTGGAATGCAGACTAGCTTCGAAAGCTTCGTGACGTGCGAAGAGCAGCTATGGCCCGGGACCCAAAAGAAAGACACACCAACGTGGTTTTCCAGAATCCCCCTTCTAGGGGACCTGCATACCCTAACGGAAGGATGCTCATGTTTACGTGCTTTTGTGCCCCTAAACCATGTAGGGCATCAGGGCTTTGGCGGCTTTTAGGGTTCACAGGGTTTACGCTTTAGGCTTCTCGCGCACAAGGGTGAAGAGGGTTTAAGATTTAGGGTCTAGGGTGTAGGGTTTCGGGTTTAGGGTTTAGGGTTGAGTGCTCAGACCTCAGACACCCCAAGGGCCCCTCAACCCTAAAGCCCCCGGTAGCCTGCGGAGCTTCGGGCGGACGTCAGCTTGCCAAGAATCGGTCATGATCTCTCCTGAGCGGCCCCCAAAGGGTTAAGGCTTAGGCTTGAAGGTTTCGGGTTAGGGTTTAGGGTTTAGGGTTTAGGGTTTAGGGTTTAGGGTTTAGGGTTTAGGGTTTAGGGTTTAGGGTTTAGGGTTTAGGGTTTAGGGTTTAGGGTTTAGGGTCTAGGGTCTAGGGTCTAGGGTCTAGGGTTTAGGGTTTAGGGTTTAGGGTTAGGGTTTGCGGTCTAGGGTTTAGGGTTAGGATTTGCGGTTTAGGGTTTAGGGTTTAGGGTTTGGGGTTTAGGGTTTGGGGTTTACGGTTTAGGGTTGAGGGTTGAGGGTTGAGGGTGGATTGTAGACCCTGTCTCCCGGAGCAGGCGATGGAAGGAGTACCGCCATTTTCCCAACAGAAGCGGCCGGCACCAGTCGAGGACCCAAACCCTAAACCCCAAACCCTAAACGCCTACCCCAAACCCTAAACCCTAAACCCTAAATCCAAAACCCTAAAGCCGAAGCAGCGGAGCCCTTTTCGACCTTCCGGAGGCACAAGCTTTGCAGAGCGCGCTTTGCAGGGGGACAGGCTGGCGCCCCAGTTGGGTTTAGGGTTTAGGGTTTGGGTTCGAAGGGGGCCGCCCTACATTGGCCCAAAATGGGCGCGACGTGCTGCAGGGTGCCTTCGCACCACTTAGCTGCAGCACCGTCACATTTAGAGAGAAGTGCGGCTGCAGGTGTAGCAGCATGGAGGAAGCGACACATACATCTAGAAGCAGACCAGAAACAAATTAGCCAGCCCGCGGCCGATAAACACGCGTGGCAGACCAGCATGGGCTCACAGGCTGCATTTCTCAAGGTTTAGACGCTAGGGTCTCCGCCCCCCGGTGCACCCACCCGAGTCGGCATGATGTTGTGCGTCACCTGGGATCCTGCGCCGACAGCGAGACCCGGATACCGGATCAGAGGCATGCAGCACCAAAGCAAGGCGGCCAGGAAGGTGCAGACAGTGAGGAAGAGTACCGAACGCAGCAGTCGACCGGGCAGAAGAAGAGGCAGGACGGCCTCCTCGAGAATGTTGACCACGAGCCATATCGAGACTGCCAGGACAACAAGCCCCATGGACACTAGGAGATCAAGGCACTTGTACTTGAACTGGGCCCGACACTTGTAGTTCAGGTAAAACACCAACCTATGCTGAACTTGGAACCCTTGCAAAAATTAATTTCTATGCTGTTTCTTAGGAAGTATAGTACCCAAGAATGAAAAAAGTCTTACCAAGTACCCCTTCGGGCAGGCTTGCCTCCTTGTCCGGGGCGTTTCTCTCCCCAAAGCTCGGTTTAGGGTTTAGGGCCTAGGGTTTGGGGTTTAGGGTTTAGGGTCAGAGTTGGTGTTAGTCAGATGACTCAGGACACGAGGTTGGTTGCTGTGGGCGCCACTGCTCGCTTGAACACCAACCTTTTGGAATCCTCCCGAACTCACCCTAAACCCTAAACCCTAAACCCTAAAACCTAAACCCTAAACCCTAAACCGCAGGATGTGTTCGTGGCAACTGCAAACACCAAGACGACGAGTCGAGCGTAAGGCCTGCTCAGAACTCAACTTCTTCTGGGAGGCTCTTAGTCGGGAATGAGGGAATCAGGTACCCGGCATCATCCCCTAAAGGGTGTATAGAGTGCCCTAAATCCCTCATTTCCTACCATGAACAATTTCCCCATACTCAGCACGAAAGTATGCTTCCCGTTGTTGGTCGTCCCTCCTGTCGTCCCTCCTGTCCCTGTCTCTGCCGATTGCTTCTGGCAAACTCGAAGAGTTCGACAAGGGGTACGGTTGTTGGAGTTGTTTTCTTCGTAGTTGTTTCTGGGCTTTTTTGCTGATTTTTGCTTGGCGTTTTTCTGGCGATTACGTGTGTATCTGCTGCGGCCGAGGCCTGAGGCCATGGAAGTTTTGGGAGCGGTTTCAGGTACCCACCACCTGATCCTGCTGCCAGGGCCCGCGGCGCTTCTCACACCCCCCCCCCCTCGCCAAGACCCCCTGAAGATCACCATCTTCCCCCATGCGCCTGAGAACTCTCAAGGCTTGACCGTTTTTCGCTATGACTCCTGGCTACCTCCGCTTCCCCTCCCCCACTCCCACTTCCTGCCCACGGCAACCTGTAAAGCTCATGTGGAAGTCTGTGCTGCGCGCGGACCCATGGACACCCCCCTTGGCTTCAATCATCTTTGGCTCCAAGGCTGCGTCCGTTGCCAAGTCACAGCTGTCAGAAAGAGTCCATGACAGATGGAACGAAGGGAAGTGAACAAACGAGGGAAGAGATAGCAGCTGAAGAAACTCGCACCTGTAAGGAAACTTTCATGTACTTATGAACCTCCCACATCGATCGTACAAACAGGAAGGTCTGTTGCCTCACGAAATTCCAAAGATTTCGGATTACTTTCTGCAACCATACACCTAGCAACGAACGACAAGACGCAAAAGCAGAGTCAAAACCAGCAGAAAAGACCATACTCCCAAACCCTAAGCCCTGAACCCTCAACCCTCAACCCTCAACCCTAAACCCCCAATACCTAAACCTAAACCCTGGCGGCTCCTGGCGACTCAGTCGGCATCCATCAGCCATGGCTATTGGCCCTTGGCCCTTGAGGCTCTTAAATGGGCCCACAAAGGGCCGGGAAAACCGGGGGGGAAACTGGGGTGAGAACGACCTCTTCGAGAGGCCAACAAATGTCACGGTGGCTTCACCACAGGATCTTGGGCCCAAGTGGGCTCGAGCTGCGAGGTCTAGGGCTCTTGAGGCAAGGGGGGTTCTAAGGGAGGTGTGTCACCTAAGTGCCCCCTACTACTCCCCTACTCCCTAAGGCTCCCTTAAGCTTCCCTAAGGTTCCCTAGGCGCCTACCCTAAACCCTTAGCCCTGAACCCTAAACCCTAAACCCTAATTGCTTACGTTGCCACTCACGAGGGCTTGCCTCAGGGCTGCCGCTGGCCTTTTTGCAGAAGCCACCGCGGAGTAGAGCACATCACTGGGGACAGAAATCTGGAGCCTGTAATGCCATTCAGAAAAACTTCCCAAGTAGAAAAGCCCGGGTGGGCTGGGTGGGGGCGCTTTCGACACTCCCTGTGAGACTGCTAGCCAAAGATCTGAGAAGGCGATGGAGCCACCAGGGCAACAGCAGAATAGCAGCTGCGCACCCTCATGGCCTGCTCACCTTCGCCTGACGTCTGGCTTTGGTGATTGACACGCTCACTCAGCAATAGCCCTTTCATTGCTTACGTTGCCACTCACGAGGGCTTGCCTCAGGGCTGCCGCTGGCCTTTTTGCAGAAGCCACCGCGGAGTAGAGCACATCACTGGGGACAGAAATCTGGAGCCTGTAATGCCATTCAGAAAAACTTCCCAAGTAGAAAAGCCCATATCCCCGCACTGGTGGAGCGAAGCACCGCCGCACACATGGGAAGTGTCAGAAAAAATGAAGCCATGCAAAAGAAGCCCGACCAGGAGTGTAACAGCAGCCTGCAAATCTCAAGCAAACCACGCCTGGGAAGGCAAACGAAATCTTCACGATTGGAGCCGATCGTGGAGGCCCTCGTCCTCAGGAACAGCAAACAGCCTCTCCAGCAGCTGCCCGAAGGCCATTGTAGCGCAGCATCGCCACAAAGACACAGAAACATGCCCGGTACCCGAGGCTAGAGCGCCGGTGGCATCTACACTTGAATTCGAAGCTTAGAAAACCTTGGGTTTCGTTCTTGGCTTGCGAGCACTTCTGTTGGCAGCGCGTCTTCTGCGCTTGCCACGCGAAGGCCCATCTGCAGGGTTTGACTCGCTGGGGATGTACACGATCCTTGGCAAGATGTCTGCGCCGAGGGTATAGGCAGCTGCACTCCGAAGGACTTTGAGAAAAGCGTGGGCAGAACTGCGCCCCTTGGACGCTGCCCCTACCACGGCCTTGGCATCCACCAAAAACGCCACCTTGTGATGATGTCTTTTGGGATTGCGCGTAACCCACTTCAAGCCCAACAAGTAGCCATGTACTTCTAACACTCCAGCATGTGATTTCCACTTGGCTCGTGAGGAAACCACAGTTGCGAAGTCTCGCTGCGTCAGCTTTAGTAGCCTTGGCTTCCCATCACGCCTGAGCTCCACCGGATCTTCCGGACAAGGCGTGAGTCGCACGAAATCGCCCCTGCGTTCTGCCATTCTGCAGACATCAGCGGCCTCGGAAGACGCACACACACTCCGGCAAACGCCAAAACCATACTCTGGGCAAGCATCTGTGGCAATAAGCGTTGCGAGAGGCAATCGGTCCAGGCCAGCAGCAAGCAACGGTGAGAGAAGCAGAGTAGTGAGGAACTCATTCAGAACCCCGGATGGCACATGTCGGGTGTCCAGTTCAGGTGTAAGCTGCACAAAAGAATACACATCGCTGTAGATACTGAAGAAGCCCCGTTGGAGAAGCGCAAACCATTCCCATATGCCTAGGAGACTGTGCACACTTCTTGGGCTAGCTACACCACCGTGCAACAAGTCCAATGTTCTGCAGACTGCATCGCCCAGGCGACCTTCAGCAGGCTCAGCAACAGGAGGGTTGTTTCTCAGTTCGCAGTCAAGAGCAGTGATGCTGTCAGCCAGAGTGACGTCCTTTCGACGATTACGAGGGATCCCATTCCTCGCGAAAGCATCATCCAGTCGGGTCAAAGTTCTTTCCCCGCGTTGCACGCTGCGGTGGAAGAGAACAGTGTCGTCAGTGGCCACCATAACCAGCTCTTGTTGATCGGCAGGAGGGTCGTGGTCAGGACTCAGAATGCATGACTCCTGAATACCTGCCCCCAGGCAAGTGGCAACAGTGGTGCTTTGAGCCACAGCTGACGACCAAGAAAAACCCATTGGCCACACCACGCGCGTAGGGTACAGCCAGCTGCTTGAAGAAATGCTCCCAGACTCCCCACCATCATCGCAGAATGTGAGAACGTCTTCCCACGTCATGCCAGCATCCAAGAGCTCGTGTACTCTGACAGGAGGCTGCGCCAGCCAAGGTTGTAGCTCAGCGGGCACCTTCAAGACATCGAAAAAGGTGCAGGCGTCACGCTTGGAGAACAGCAAGTCCTCACCTGGCTTCACCTCCAGCTCCAAGAAACAAGAAGGATTGGCCAGTCTCCTCGGTTTTGGAGGGTCCTTTGCCAAAGCAGAAACACTCGAACCATCCCAGATCTTTCGCTGCCGTCCATTTGTCTTTTCAGCAGCAAAAATGCCAGCAGTGGCCTGAGCGCGGCGCCTGAGCCGGAGTTTACCGCAGCGAAGCTCACGTATAGTAAGGCGCAGGTACTCCAGTGACCCTAGGTGGCGGTTGTACGTTGGCAGTCCCCGGGAAAACGTTGCTAGCATCCCTAATCTGCGCGGCGAGCTCCGCTTCGATGAGCCCAAGCGGCTCGCACGTTGCAGCCACCTGAGGAAGATCCACGTCTTCAGTGCGAAGGTCCCGGTATTGCTTGGACCCCGCTCCTGCATCGCTATTCAAGGTGTTGCGCCACAGCAACGTGTGCCCGAAAAACTTATTCAGGCGGGCGAGGTATCGCACCACCCTGTCTGCCACATGGAGCTGAACTGAACTCTGCGCAGCTGTAGCTCTCGCAGGAAAAGACTGTGAAGCCGTCGCAGCTTTGAGGCCTTGCTCCAGACAGTTGAAAGCTGCTAGACAGAAGTTGCTGACAGCCATGCACGTCTCCACGCGAATATCGCCCCTCTCCACCTGATCTGGCCAAGCAGCCAATTTAGGGATGGGGAAAAGGTTGCGAAGCCGATATTTGGGGGTCGCACAGTCACAGGAGACCCAGTGTCTCCAGTAGACCGCCACATTGAGAGCGGAGCCTGGCAGAAACTGCTGTAGCGTGTCGCAGAAAACATCCGCAGCAGAGGTAGCTTGCACAGCGTCAGGTTGTAGCGTGGGTGTCGCGGGGCCATGAGCTCGCACAGCGTCATGTCGGAGCGTGGGCGCCGCAGGGCTGTGGGCTTTCATGCCGGCAGGCACACCACACACGAGTGCTTGGAGAACCGTCAGCTGTAACTTATGGCGAAGCAGCCGCCGCTTGTTGCGATACCGCCTTGCAGGAGAACATGAACGTGTGGCCCAAGGCAGAGGAAAATCGTCGTGAACACCAGCCATATCCATTCCCTTGAGGCGGTAAGCAACTGTCCACGACAGAACCTCAGCAGTTAGCAGCAGCCCCCCACAGGCGGGGCACGAAAAACCATGGCGCTTTCGACACTCCCTGTGAGACTGCTAGCCAAAGATCTGAGAAGGCGATGGAGCCACCAGGGCAACAGCAGAATAGCAGCTGCGCACCCTCATGGCCTGCTCACCTTCGCCTGACGTCTGGCTTTGGTGATTGACACGCTCACTCAGCAATAGCCCTTTCAACCCTAAACCCCTAGAATGAACTGAAACCACTTCGCTGTATGTTCTGCGGCCAGGCGCAAGGCCCGGTTTGCGTTCTAACACCGGGTGAGTCTGGGGTTCAGGGAAAAAAACAGAATAACAGAACAACATAAGAGCATAACTCCATAACAACACAATAATCATAATAACAGAATAGCAGAAGAACAGAATAACATAATAGCAAGAGAGCAGAATAATTCTAATACTGTGGTAGTTTAGGGTTTAGGGCTAAGGGGTTATGGACTCTTGTCTTGTAGCGAGGTTCTTGTTCAGACGGGTTTTTGGCGCGCAGGGTCGCCGGGTCTGTCTCCAGCTTCAGGCTTGCGGGGGGTAGCGCTTAGGCTTTACAGTAGTGTATTGGCTAAACCCTAAACCCTAAACCCTAAACCCTAAACCCTAAACCCCAAACCCCAAACCCTAAACCCTAAACCCTAAACCCTAAACCCTAAACCCTGAACCCTAACCCTAAAGCCCAAACCCCAAAGGGTTTAGGGATTGAGGGGTCAAGGTGAACGAAGGGACTTGTCTGAGCCCAGCTTCTTCGACGCGTGCACCTCGTGGACATGCGGGTAGTCGACGATCATGGGTGTCTCGGTTCAAGGTTTGAGGTTTAGGGTTTAGGGTTCTAGGGTTTAGGGGTTTAGGCTTAGGGTTTAGGGTTTTAGAGTTTTAGGGTTTTAGGGTTTCAGGGTTTTAGGGTTTTAGGGTTTTAGGGTTTTAGGGTTTTAGGGTTTTAGGGTTTTAGTGTTTTGGGGTTTCAGGGCTTAGGCTTAGGCGCTTCTGAACCTCCTACAGAGTGCCTACGCACGAACAACTCCCTACACCGCTGAAACCCTCAAATTGCCCGATGCACCTTCATGGGACCCTACAACCCCAAGCCCTAAACGTGGGATGTTCCCCCTGAAAACTAACAGTCCTTGCTAGGGATGATAGTAAGGTGGTACTAAAAGTCCCTATTCAGGACTGCCAGTATACGGGGGAAAATCCCAACCCTAAACCCTAAACTCGAAACCCCTCAGGTGCCCAAGCGACGTTCAGAGGCATCTCGAACTTCTCGCGCTCCCGCAGGACACAGAGCGACTCGCCCACGTCCTCTTCAACAGGAGAGGCTTCTGGTGCCTCAACCCTAAACCCCAAACCCTAAACCCTCGGCTTGGGGGGCTCTCACAGCCCTAGAGCAGCCAGCCCGGGAAAAAACTCACCCCAACGCACACACTCAATGAACCCGAAACCAACTCCAAAAACCCCAAACCCTGAACCTTTCGGGCTTAGGGGGTTAGGGTTATGTTGTAGGGTTGTAGTGTTGTAGTGTTGTAGGGTTTAGGGTTTAGGGTTTAGGGTTTAGGGCTTAGGGCTTAGGGCTTAGGGCTTAGGGCTTCGGGCTTAGGGCTTAGGGGTCTCAAACAAGATCTCCAACTCTGTGCCCAAGGTGCCCAGTGATTCTGCAGGCTTTCCTCCTGCCAGCGGGCGGAGAAGAACAACAGGGAAGCTCTGCTCCCATCCATCCGGGTTTCGAGGGTTTACGGGGTTTATAGGGTTTCCAGGTTTTACAGGGGTTTATAGGGTTCATAGGGCTTATAGGGTTTATAGGGTTTCCAGGTTTTGTGGGGGTTTATAGGGTTTATAGGGTTTATAGGGTTTATAGGGTTTATAGGGTTTATAGGGTCTTGAGGCCTTATAGGGTTTACAGCGTTTATAGGATTTATCGGTGTGATTGTGTCTTCCGGGTTTATTGGGTTTATAGGGGATACCCTGACCGGAATCAAGGGACGATGTAAGGTGCATAAGCATAAGTGTTAAAATGTGAAGAGCCCCTTTCAACCCCAAGCCACAAACCCTAGAATTCGGAAACCGAATCATCCAGGCTAAGCGTCCTCCGCGCAGCGGATGCTGTGCAGCTGCCTCAGTACCTCCGCGTTCATCTCACCCTCCGTGTAGAGGCCTTCTTGCTGTGTAAAGCACGCCAGGGAAGAGGTTTAGGGTTTCAGGGTTGAGGGTTTAGGGTTTAGGGCTTAGTTGATGGATGAAACTGAGGCACCATGTCGCATGGGGAAGAACGGGATGTAGTAGAGCAGGCAGCGCCAGTGGCCATAGACGGTGCAGATCTGCAGGAAGACGGAGTACAGCGGCCAGAGCAACCTGCTCACTTCTCAAAGCTAGTCCCTTTTTGGGGTTACCTTTCATAAGGCGGTCCCGAATATTTAGGGCGCCCCAAGAAAGGCGCCGTAGTTTTAAAGAATTTTAGAAAACTCACCCCCTCATCGCCGCGCAAAATGTATCTTGGGCTTGCGCTTTAGGTCTCGCGGTCCGCCCGAACGGCAAACCGTACCTTACACCCCCCGCAAAAGACTTCAGCCTCAGGGTCTGCACGGACGGCCCCGGAAGCCCACGGACACTGCGTAGTAGCGGGTTCAGGGTTTAGGGTTGGGGGTTTAGGGCAAGGTGGGACTTCCTTCACGGACCACCAAGGGCACGGAGCTTGGCTTCAGGGACAACATCTCCCAGAAACCACCCGAAACCCAAACTGCACACTAAGCCCACAACTCCCAGCCCTAAACTCGGAACCTCAAACCCTGCAGACAACCCTGAGGGTGGAAAAGGCTTTTGGGTCTGAGGGGCTTAAGGCTCAAGACCCTAAACCCTAAACCTTGAACCCTAGACCCTAGACCCGAATTAGACCCTAAACCCTAAACCCTAAATCAACCGTAAACCCTAAACCCTAAACCCTTGCTGCAGCCGGGGCGCAGGGTCTTGGCGTCCGCCTGCAACCCAGGATGCCCCCGCAGAAAGACTGAGCTGAGAATGACGCCATTCACCCATTGGCCTCGACCAAAGGATATAGGGTTTAGGGTTTAGGGTTTAAGGTTTCGGATTTAGGGTTGAGGGCTCCCAGCTTAGGATTCTGCAGGCGAGGGCTTTCAATTGTTGAGGGTTTAGCGTTTAGGATTTAGGGCTGAGGGTCCGAGCTTAGGATTCTGCAGGCGTTGGGTTTCCGAGTTTTTGGGCTGCAGGCGTCGGGCTATCGGGCTTTAGGGCTTTGGCGAAACGCACTCACCGAAACCTTAATGTGAACCCTACTTCGTACGGATAACATGCTACCAGCAAGTACAAGCATCATCATCATCATCATCATCATCATCATCATCATCGTCATCATCATCATCATCATCATCATCATCATCACCGTCATCATCATGATCATGGAGCATGAGAATGGCAACGATTGGAATCAAAGCATAATGCAACATTCATGGTGAAGCAAAGGGAAATCAAAATGATATACTCTCTCGAAACAAAAAAGTCCAACTATCAGTAGAAGAGTAACTGGCACGTATACGCACACGCACGCAAACGCGGACACTTGTAGAGATATTGCTTGCCCGACGCCCAAAACGTGAGAAGGGATGCAAGGCTCTTCTTGGGTTTGCAGGAGTCTATAGGAGCGCGCTCGGTCTAGATTTAGCTGCCCTCCTCCTAAGGGGATTTTAAGGTCAGGGTCGCTGTTTGTTGCTGCGTCTTCACTTGTCTTTTTCAACGCTGCATCCCACTTGTTGTCCCACCTATCACCTAGTGGCCTTCGTCGTTTCTTGTCCCTCTCCAGGGCCGGTCTCTTTCTTATGGTCGCCTGCCTCGCTTTCCTCGCGACGTCTGTCTTGTTGCCTTCCTTTCGCCGTCTCCAGTTCTCCCACACCTTCGTTTGACCCTTGACCCGAGTCCGACCTTCCTTGTCCCTCGTCTTGAAACTTTGTCTTTCTGCCAAGATCTGGAGGCCCGAAGGCTCGGGAACCCCCGACTCTCTCTCTCTCTCTCTCTCTCTCGGTTTAGGGTTTGGGGTTTAGGGTTTGAGGTTTAGGGGCATGAGGGTCCCCCGGAAGGGCCCCACGCGCAAGTGCGCGCCCGAATCCGGTCTCATCGTGAGACTGTTGGCTGAGGACTCATTGTGATAATGCCCGTCCGACACTTCCCAAAGCTCGAAGACTACCCCGGGCTCTTACTAACCGGAAGAATGATGCCCGTCACTAACCGCCCCGTTCCTTAGTGTCGAGCTTCCAAACAAGTGGGGTTCATTGACCCCCAAAATTCGGGGTACCTGATTGGGGTCCTCGTTATCTCAATCCTACTATATGGGGGGTGAGAAAAGGGGCCTCTTATTTTCGCAAACTCCCAAATTATAAGAGGGTCTTCAGTAATAGCACTCATGACCCTATGAAGAGGCATCCATGAAATCCCACCCCCTTTACCGCCCCCCCCCTCCACCCAACAAAGGTGGCCAGCCAAGGCGCACGCGGCAAAGGATCCAAGGGTGCGAAGAAGGTGGGGCAACAACACCTCGGGGCGCCCAGCTTTCTAGGGCAGTTACAAAAAGGGGACCCCTTATGCACCCCTTATATCCCCCATACAAAATTAGGGCCCATACATCAGAACCCTTTAAAGGAGTTTGGGGGGGGGCTCTCAGGGACCCTAGACCCTGAGCCCTGAACCCTAACCTCTAGAACCCGAAATGCCCGCGACTTGCCCAAAACCCTAAGCTAACCCTGAACCCCAAACCCTACATCCTACAAGTTCGGACACCCCCATCTGGGTTTGTACGCCAGCCCCAGCCTGGGCCGCATCCTGCAAGGCAATGCGCGAGACCATGGCTTGAAGCAGCAGGAAGGGAAGGAG